AAGTGCAGGGCAGGTGGGCCTCCAGGACAGGTTTGGGAACCACTGGTCTAGTGTAACCCTCACAAGATTGTGTGCACCCAGAGGATTCTTTGAGTTAGAGAACATTTATTTTAGTATGCAAACCTTTGGCATTGTGTGCTGATCTTGTTTCAAGGAATTTGTGTGCTCGGCTTCACCGAGCGATGGCTTTGAGTCTGTGGTCACGCTTACCCTGCTAATTTTGTGTATTCTGCTGAAAAAGTGTTGCTAGGCACCGAAAGGAGAAACTGTGAGTGGGATTCAGATGGCAAATGCTCTGCTGTTTTCTTTTTATCTGCAATAACGCTTCATTATAAAAGACTCACAGTTTGTTGCATTAATACCTTCAGTAATACAGGCATGAACACAATGATATCTTCAGAATTCAAGCTGACGTTTGTTCCCTCTCATGAGGGACTGCTATAAACACACAATTCTCAGAAGATATGAATCATTTGACTATGCTAGGCTGCCAACATGTACTTTGTCTGTTTGATTTTATTCATTTTAAAGCAGGTAAGACTCCGAGTTCCACATGATGACGTGCAAAGTTGAAAACATGCCTGCAGCCACTGCCTTTAAAACACTTTAATAATGCAGGACAACTCTTCAGGTGCACATCTACTACTCGTTCAGCCCAGTCTGGAGTGTTTTGGATCACTGGAAAATGTATAAAGTGTAAACTAACAAATGCAATGCAAAACAAAATCTGATTCAAATTTGCATCCATCCACAGATTAATGCAAAGCATGCATGTTACATTACAGATAATCCATGTATCAATGCATATGATCTTTTTATTACATGGATTACTGGTCAGACTGTGTGGTTTTCATCCATCCATAAGCATAACGCATACACTTTCGGAGGAGGGAGTCATCATAGCTGTGCAGCAATCCATTGACCTAGATTTGCAGTATTCTCTGGATTTCAGCCACCCCTGCCTCAGAGTGGAGCCATTTATGTGGATTTGGATGTTTCTGCATTCGGAGGGCTGTGGGGCTGCCTTCATGCTTAATGGAACCAGAAGAGTGCCATTATTGCAATTATTTATTTTTCTGCTTTTGAGCGAAAGGGTTTGATCCTGTTCCCTGCAGTA